CTTTTCAACCCGCTTCAAGTAATGATGACTAATTAACCAATATTGGGGGAAATAACCTTGACTAGAGAGCCACAAGGGCGGGGGTGAGAATCGATCCCAAGATTTCTTGGAATCGGGAGGGAAGCTCTAACCACTTGAGCTACCCTCACTCTCTCAAACCTGCTCATATATCAACTATACCTGTGCATCTTTTTTAGTATAAAATATAGTATAACAAATAAAAACTAGGAAAATTTGTCAGAAAAACCTTTAAATACCTCATTTTGCAAGAAAAAACATTTTAAATGGATCTTTGTAAAAAAAAAAACCACCACAATCACTTTTTTTGTTAGATAAAATCTCTCCTCCCTTTTTCGGCATTGACATAGCTTTGCTGGCGTGGACCCCTTATTTTCTTTATTAACACCCAAGTAAATTTATATTTGCACTCCTTCATTTTATTTTCCCTTCTCTCTCTCCACTTCTTCAATGAATGCACTACACTTTTTCAATCACATCATATGGGCTCTCTCTCTCTCTCCCCTTTGCTTCACAACATTAATTGAGCAACAATTATGTGAGGTAAGTGTAAATTCATGAACTTATTTTGCAAATAGTATCAAAATTGGGGTTTTTAAAAACACATCCACAATTCACCACTATATTGATTCTATAAAATTGGACAAAAATAAGAAATTGTTAGAGAGATGAAGAAAGATAATTGACCACTACAATGGTAAAAACTACAATGATGAAAGAAAGAGAATTGAAACCCTAGTAATTTACCTTCCAATTGAAATAGTTGGGTGGTTTTGTCTTAATTAACCTTTTAGGGGGAAAATTGGGAGCAAAAAAAAAGGGAAAAATTACCCTAGACTTGGCTGTAAGTAGAGAAAATTAAGGGGTCAACGTCAAAAAGCTAAGTCAATGTCAGAAAAAGGGAGGAGAGGTTTCATCTAACAAAGAAAATGATCATGGTGGTTTTTTTTTTTTAACAAAGATCCTTTTAAAAGGTTTTATTTCTTGCAAAATGAGCCATTTAAAAGGTTTTTTCAGACAAATTTTCCTATAAATTACAAACAAAAATATATAGTTCAAATTGTGTTTTTATCACTACCTATGTTGCAAAATCCTAACACTCAGGGCCTGTTCACATTTACTGAACTGAACTGAACATATTGGAGCTGAACTGAACTGAACTGATTGGAGCTGAACTAAACTGATTGAAGCTGAGCTGAACTGAGCTAAAATGAATATTTTATGAGAGAAGAAAATAAGAAGCTGAATTGAGCTGAACTGAAATTAAGATGAAGTGAACAGACCCTCAAATCTCATCAAACTTTCTAACTAAATATTTTATCTACAAATGTTTTGATCTAAAGTAGTGCGCTCATTGCTCTAGAATCTCATTCATCTCTACATCATTATAAGCTGCACTTCTCAGACAATAATACTTTAAATTAAATGGACAAATATAATTAAAACATAAAAACAATAATTTAAATTAGTTTAGCGATTATATATATAGACTTGTAAATAAATAAGCTCCTATGTACCAAAAATAAATATATATGCTTTAATTCTATGGACTAATGAAATAACACATCGGAATCACATAAGTATGTCATGTTGCTAAGTTTTTGGAACACTTTGAACCAAAATGGTTCAAAAATGGCTAAAAAGGACTTCTATCATTCCCATTTTCAATGTAATTTTCCAAAAGAATGATATAACACCGACACCATGTCTTATACAATTAGTTTATAGTTTCCAATGCCTTGAAATCAAATTAATATTAAGAAAATTTGTCAGGAACTACACGCTTAATAGGGGTATTTGGAAACAACTACCCACTAAAAAAATTTATCAAAAAAACTACCCTCTAAATTTAAAAAATTAGAGTAGCACTACCCATTTGCATTTTTCGGCGAGAATGTTCGGCGCATGGACTCACTTTTTCAATTTTTCTCTGAAAAGACACGATGCAATGACAAATTGGACCTTAATTCGTTACCCTAAGATAACCAATTTGAATTAAAAGCAACAAATTCAACCAATTTCAAATTATCCCCAATTTCTAAGAACCCTAATTTTTCTAATTGTTACACCCTAACATCAAAATTTATAATTAATGGATTAAAAGAGAAGAATTACCTATGAATTGTATACTCTGCTGGTTTTCACTTCTTCAATTAGGAATTTTCAGAAGAAAAATTGAAAAAGTGGGCCCCACACGCCGGACTTTCTCGCCAGAAAATGCAAATGGGTGGTGCTACTCTAAATTATTAAATTTAGGGGGTAGTTTTTTTAATAAAATATTTTAGTGGGTACTTGTTTCCAAGTACCCCTATTAAGCATGTAGTTCCTAATAATTTTTCCTTAATATTATTACAATTTACAAAGTTTTGGGAGCAATTTGGACTAAAATCGTCTAAAAATGTCCTTATGGACTTTTACCAATTTCTACTATGCCTAAAATAGTTAATTTAACTTATAGTTTCTATGGCTTGAAATCAAATAAATATGTCAATTTGTTATATTTTGGGAACATTTAGAATCAAGTTGGTTTTATTTCAATTTAGGCCCTGTTATCTTATCTTAGTTTCATATTAGCTTCATGTTTGATTTTGTGACATTTGTGTAATATTTTGAACATATTTTTATTAAATTGAAACTAAGGGTCTGTTCTGATTTACTGAGCTGAGTTGAACTGAATTAAACTGAACCGATTGGAGCTGAATTGAATAGAATTGAATAGAGCTGAAATGAATTATTTATGAGAGAAAGAAATTAGGAATTAAACTGATCTAAACTGAACTAAAATTTAGTTGAAGAGAACAGGTTAGTTTTCAGTTCAGCAAAAATAATTTCGATTCGTAAATTGGTATAAAGAATTGACTAAATCACATTATCCTCAAATATGAGCAAAATTAATTTTTATTTAGCAAAAATAATTTCATTTCAATAAAACATAATTAAAAAAAAATTAAAAAAAAAATAAAAACCTAATTTAGCAAATCATAATGATAACTTATGTCCATGAATCACTTGATGTAGTCTTTTTTTAATATAAATTTGGAAATTTTGATAATTACCACCATTTTTTTTTTAAATCTTACCACCTAGTTTTTTTCCAAAAGTTTTAAAATCCCCACCACTTTGACACATGATGTCATCATGGGACCCACACTTTCGTTTTCCCTAAATTTTCCCTGTTCTTCTACTCCCTTCTTTCAATTTCATCTCTCAAATTTGATTTCAATTTCACAAATTTCGCAAATTAGGTTATAATTTCTACAATTTAACCTACAACGAACTGAATTGATTAGTTTAATTAGGTTTTGGAAAATTAATTTGGGGGTTTTGCTAAATTCGACAAATTAGGGTAATCAATTTGGGGATTTTGCTAAATTCGACAAATTAGGGTTTATGAAGTTAAATTTGAATGAATAACTAGGCAATTAAACAAGTAATTACCACAAATATTTTGAACATATTTTTACTAAACTGGAACTAAGGGCATTTTCTGATTTACTGAACTGAGCTGAATATAGCTGAACTGATTGGAGCTGAACTAAACTGAACTGAAATTAAGCAAAAGAGAACAGGGCCTAAGTTTTCAATCAACAAAAATAATTCCAAGTCGTATATAGAATTGACTAAATCACATTATCCTCGAATATGAGCAAAATTTTAGCAAAAATAATTTCACTTCGGTAAAAAATAATTTCATTTCAACAAAAATAAGATAAAGATAACAGGGCCTAATCGAAACTATGATCTATATATATACTAAAATAACAACCGCTGACGTCATCACTGCTTATGTGTCACTTTCTTATTTAATATTTTCCCTCCAAAATGCAAGGTTGATGATGCCATATTTTTTTCATTTTTAAGCTTCCCTATTTAACATTGCTTTGAAAATTAAATTCCATTTGAATTTTAAAATTTTGGGTTTTCTACACATATTATGCTATTTAGTTATTTATGAGTTATTAACAATAGTTAACAATATAATTTAATTGAAATTTTCAATTATATATGAAATTATGCACTTTTGAAAATTGTATATTCATATTTAATTTAAATTAATTAGGAAAACGGAGGAAGTAGTTAATTTCTTTCAATATATGTTAAAAGTCAATAATTCAATTCTTATTATAAAACCGTGCATCGCACGGGGTTAACCTAGTATAAATTAAAGAAAATATCTTTGTGGGTTCAATCCAACGTGGACACTGATTTGAAAAATAGTTTTAAACTTTCAATCAACAACACCAATCTATTAACTATTATTAAATAAAAAACTTTGTTGATGCCATCACTGTCCATATGTCACTCTCATAATAAAAAATTTCCCGCCTAAATGCATGATGATGTCATCTTTTTTTTTTTTTTTGAGCTATTATATTTAATAGATTTTGAAATTTGAATAATAGAAGCTTCTATATTACAAATACAACCTAGCAATTTATCCTTAAAAAATGAAATAATTTTAAGTTGTACACTAATATTAAATAGACTCCTACATTAAAATATGTATTAGACAAAGTTAAACAGATATTATATCATAATTTTGATGAAAATCTAAAATTTTCAAAATATAGATATTTTGTACAAGGTTCATATTCTTATTTATATTTAGCCATTTTTTAAAAAAAAAATAATACAAATTATAAAAATAAATTTTATATAAATTGTGCATTGCACGGGTTCTAACCTAGTTTAGCAACCAATCAAAAAATAATAATAATAATAAAATTAAAAAAAAAAATGACTTTTGACATACGACTAGTATAACGTAGGACTTGTGCCAAAGAACCCAAAGTTGGAATTTTTATGAGCATGTTAGAATTTTACTGTCATCGACTAATACTTCATACGAAAACTAAAAAAAAAAAAAAAATGGCTGCTTTAATCTTGCCTTGTTTGTATGTTTATTAGAGGTAGAGTTTTCCTTCTCAATTAGTTTCAGTTCTTTGTTAGTAGTTACAGCATTACCTTCAACACTTTACATAATGTCACGCTTAACTCTATCATTTTACATGATCATTTTTGCTACCATTATTCTGTTTCATTGTATTCAGCTCGCAACAACTCAGAACAATGAAACAGAGAGGTTGGCATTGCTCGAAATCAAAGCCAAAATAACAGATGATCCATTGGGTGTAATGAGGTCATGGAACGATACCGTCCACTTTTGTGAGTGGCACGGGGTTACTTGTGGTGGTACATACGAGCAAGTGACAAAACTAGACCTGAATTCGTCAGAAATCACAGGTACACTCTCTCCCTATATCGGAAATTTAAGCTTCCTGCAGGAGTTGCGCCTTGACAGTAACAACTTTGTTGGGATGATTCCGGAAATTTAACCTCTCATTGTTGACACAATTATCCTTAAGGCAAAATGAGTTAGAAGGAGATCTTCCTGCAGGTTTAGGTAATACACTTCCGCGTCTTCAGTATTTGTCTTTAGGCTCCAATCGATTCACTGGTCTTATTCCTGCTTCAATTTCCAATTCTTCAAGTCTCAATGTTCTTCAGTTGAGTCAAAACCATCTTCGAGGTCATGTTCCTTCTCTGCACAAGTTGCAAAGGCTTTCGCGCCTAGTCCTTTCTGATAACTCCCTTGGGTATGGCCAAGACCAAGATTTGAACTTTGTTTCTTCTTTAGCCAATCATACCCTTTTACAATGGCTTCAAATAGGCCAAAATAACTTCAAAGGAGTTTTTCCTGAAATCATATGCAATTTCTCATCCCTTACTATATTGGCATTACACAAGAACAATATAGCAGGAGAAATTCCAGTGTGCATTGGAAACTTAGCCAAACTGCAACAATTTGTGGTTAATGACAACAGACTTTCCGGGGTCATTCCCTCGAGTATAGGGGAACACCAAAATCTAAACTTCCTTTACATGAATGGTAACAGTTTATCCGGGGTCATTCCATCTTCGATTGGAAACTTAAGCAGGTTGTCTATATTTTCCTTGTCTCATAACAACCTTATAGGGAGAATACCGTCTGATCTTGGAAACTGTAAATCTCTAACAGCATTATATTTTGCTAATAACAGTCTTAGTGGTGATATACCCTTGCAACTTTTTGATCTCCCGGCCTTGTCTACCATGATCGATTTTTCTGAAAACCACCTAACCGGATCCCTCCCGGAAGAAGTTGGGAAGTTGAATAATCTTCAAAGTATTTTACTGAATGGTAACATGTTATCAGGTCAGATTCCAAGCTCTATTAGTAGGTGCGTTGTTCTAGAGTACCTATACTTGGGGAAAAACTTCGAAGGCTCTATTCCTGATGCACTGAGATCATTAAAGGGTCTTGTTGAGATTGATCTGTCATATAACAAATTAACAGGGCAGATACCACCATTTCTAGCAGACTTACAGTTAAGATTGCTAAATCTCTCAAACAATAGCCTTGAAGGTGAGGTACCTATTCGCGGAGACTTTGATAATGCAACAAATGTTTTACTAAGTGGAAATGATAGGCTCTGCGGAGGCATAGTCGAGTTACATTTGCCTCGATGCAGTAGTAGTCCGGACAAGCAGGAAAGCAAACAGGGGCACACGAAGAAATTGATAGTCACAATTCTTCCTTCTTTTTTCGGAGTTATTCTGGTATTGGCTTTAGTACTTGTTTTGTTGAAAAAATCAAGGAAGAGAAAAAAGACTAGTGAACCTGTGTTTCCCGATACATCAGGTCATAAAAATTTCCCAAATTTGTCTTACCAGACACTCCTTAGAGCAACTAATGGGTTCTCGCAGGAAAATCTGATTGGCAGCGGAACATTTGGGGTTGTGCACAAGGGAATCCTCGAGGAGGATGGATCAGTGTTGCAATTAAGACATTTAACCTCGAACATCATGGCAGTTTAAAAAGTTTTATTGCTGAATGTGAGGTCCTTAGAAGCATCAGACACCGAAATCTTCTGAAGGTAATAACAGCTTGCTCAAGTGTTGATAATCAAGGAAGGGATTTCAAGGCATTGGTATGTGAGTACATGGTGAATGGAACTTTGGAAGATTGGTTGCATCCATCACATGAAACTAGTAATGTCAATTGTCAAAAGTTTATATGATACCTCAAGATACTTGAGTTTTCACCAAAGACTTGATATTGCAGTTGATGTTGCATTTTCCTTGGATTATCTTCACCATCAATGTGGTGCCCCAATAGTTCACTGTGATTTGAAACCGAGCAATATTCTCATTGATGATGAATTGGTCGCTCATGTCGGTGACTTTGGGCTAGCCAAGATCCTCCTTAAAGGCATCAATAGCAGTCATGCGAACCAGTATAGCTCTGTTGGAGTTAGAGGAACTATTGGGTTACACTCCTCCAGGTAACAACTCAACTTAGTGTTCTAATTTATTGCTTTATAATGTTTTCATTGTAATAATATTTGAGGCATGATCTGAATGCAGAATATGGTCTCGGAAATGAGGTGTCTACCATTGGTGATGTCTATAGCTTTGGGATCCTTTTACTCGAAATGTTTACAGGAATGAGGCCTACTAATGACATGTTCAAAGGCGGCTTGAGCCTGCATACCTTTGTGAAAAATGCTATACCCGAAGAGATTGACACGATTGTAGATCATACTCTAATAGAATACACAGAAAAAGAGGAAAAGACCAACAAGAGTGTGATGTTGGAGGCCTTAACTTCTGTACTTGTTGTAGCACTTTCTTGCTCAGCTGAAGTGCCACAAGAAAAGTTGGACATGAGTGATGTAGTTGCAAATCTATTACTAATCAGAAATAAGCTTCTTGATTAAGAAAATGTATTAACAAGTAATGTATGTAAATCATCCCCATTAATTATGTAGTAAAGTTGAAATCCATGCTTTCATCTAGTTTGTAATCTTGTATGTTTACCAATGCATAAAGGAATGTATTAATTAAGGACTCTTCCTCTCAAACTTATACGTAATATTACTAATAACTCAGTCAAGTAAATTATTCATTAATCAGTTTCAATGATACGATCATCCACACGAATGGTTATATGAGCCAAATACGAGTTAAATCAAAGATAAATAATATTAGGGGATGGTAAAACACCAACTAATCATGGAACAAATATAATAGAAACAGAACTTAACATTTTTTCTGCAAACTGCAAGATAGTTGATTGGCGCAACTGAAGGGAATGTCCATCCTCAGCCTATCCACTTTCCTCATAAAATTGCAACAATCTGGTACATCGCGTGAGTACAAATAGCATCCACATATGAAGCTGTTTCAGAGTACCTGGAGGCAACTCCAGAATCGTGTCATCCAATTCCTGAACTAAAATTTCACACTGGTCCCAGACTACGTCTGGTGATGTCTTAGCACAACTCTGAGCCAAGATTATTAAGTCCTCAATAGTTTCTTACCATCCAGGATGATTTGCAGCATTCTTTTCTAAGAGACCTACTAAATCTGCTGCAAAAACAGCTAAATCGGAGTCTACTTCTTCTTTGTCTTTCTCAAACCTTTCTCGTATATATCAGCACAAAATTAAAGCCTCCTACATATAATACTGATTTCAGAAGGTAAAATAAGTACTGAAAGGAATCTTAATGTACAACATCCAGAGAAGGTAGTGGTCCACTGGTCCTCGAGTTCAACTTTGTAGTGTTTAGATAATGGAAAAAAAACATGAGTGCAGGCTGAGTAATCTGCAAGCTCAATTGACCACAAGTACTTACTCCTAGACTAAACTCAGAAGGAAGTACTAGGAACAGAAGCAAATAAATTAATCTACTTGTGTTTTTATATCCTCCAAATTGGATAAAATGCTAGCTTAGTAAGTAGACTCTGTGACTTATGCACTGTATTAACATTATACTTGTAAAATTGCAGATAGAAGATATCATGCTGTGTGAAGGTGTTTAGAGGGGCCTTGAATCACCTGCAGATAATACTGGAAGATATGCACCCACTCTCGAGAAACCAATGCACCATTTCCATTGCTTGTTATACAGCAACGACAGTCATTAAAATCTTAGGTTAATTATTGAGGAGTGTCTACGTACTAAATGCAATGGTTGTGCCAAGGAGTTGTGGCGGATCCAGGAATTTAGATAAGGGGTACGAAATTAAGCTTAACATAAAAAAAAAAAAAAAAAAAAAAAAAAAAAAAAATTAAAAAAAAAATTACAAAGTAATATGTGCAGTATTATCATTTTTGTCAACTTAAATTTGAGTTATTAATTAATTTCATTGTTGTATTAGTCTTTGCGTGTACAATGTACCCATCCTTCGGTAACAATGTCTATAAATGAGCAACTGGATAGTGACCCTATTGACCTTTATTAATTCTTGTGCTAACTTTATATTAGTGTATACTTGAATTTCACACGTGTTAGCTAACATAATGACCCTATATTTAATTTGAGTATGGTCTAGACTAGACTGTATTTTGCGGTTTGATATGATTTGCAGTTTGAAAATTATGGTACGATTTACAGTTTGAAAATTGTGGTGCGGTTTCCCAAAAATGACCAAACTACAGTTTGGTGCAGTTTCTACAAAAATTTTAGACCAAACTGTTTCACAAACCTTGATTTTACATGATATTATTTGGATTTTACGGTTTTTATGAGAGAAAGTGTAAAGATCTTGATGAAGAAGAAGGTTGTAGAGAGAAATGGAATTTGAAATGTTGGTTTTGGGGTTTTTTTATGTATTATGTGGGGTGGAGTGGTTAATCTTGAGTCACCGTGGTTAGTGGGGTCAATGGGCAGTTACTGAAGTTCATGAGGGAGGGGGGATATCGCTACAACCCTAAACGCTGTGTTTTGTAGGAGGTGTAGGTAGAAGTACCTACTCAAGGCTGTAGGTCTTAAGAAGGGATGGCAATGAGTCGGATTTAAAGCAGATTATGCTAAATTCGACTCCGGCCATACAAGAAGTTGGAGGTTAAATCTGACTCCAAATCCAACTCCAACATTCGATCTGACTTCGAGCTGTTTTTTTTTCCCCCTCGGTTAATCCACTTTGAGAAATTGGCCTATTTGGACCTTTGCAACCCACACTCACTGCCACAACTACCCACACCCAAATCCGACCCTCCTTCGACTCGGAGTCAGATTATTTTAACGAAGTCGGATTCAGATTACTTTTTCTCGAACTCGGAGCTAGCGGATTTTTTTCCTCGGATCAGAGCTGAGTAGGGTCGATCCAGACTGGATTGCCATCCCTAGTCTTAAGAGTTAGTCGAACCCTCCCAAAAGGCCTGAACCCACTGCCTAAATTGATAAGTCACCAAATCTGATTTAATTGGCCCTAGCCAATAACCTTTGATGGGCCTTGTTTGTGCGATGCTACGGCTAAAGAAAGTCAATCAATACACACTGATATTGGGCCATTAATTTCCTCAAAGTTACCCAATCATTCTTATATGCGCTTTCATTTAATTTTTTTTTTTTTTCGTTTTTGAGCATATCTAAGTCTAAATGAATTTCTCAAAAAAAAATAATAAATAAATAAATAAAAAAATTAAATTAAATTAAACGAAAAATGATATATATATATATATATATATATATATATATATATATATATATATATATTTTTGGTGTATAGAGAGCCACAAGAGTGGGGGTGAGAATCGATCCCAAGATCTCTTAGAATGTATATATGAATGTATGAATGTTTCATTTTTATATGTACATGTGGCTCACTTGTTCTATTTCTTTATCGTCACTAATTATGCTCAAGCTATTCTCGGATATTTCAATTAAAACATGGTTGGATTATTTTGATGTATAATTAGTGTGTAGTCTTGGCGTTGCACCGAGTTGCTACTTTGAAACATAATATTAGTTAAAAAAAAACGGATTCATATTTAATATTTATTTATTTATTAGTTTAAAAAAAAACCGGATTCATATTTATCGTCACTATTTTTATATGTACATGTGGCCATTATCTTTATTTATTTATTATAAGGAAAAAAAATTTAGATATATTAATTATCCATTATTGTGCCTATTTAAACATGGTTGGTATCTAATTTGATATTAGATTCATGAGGTTTAGTGTTTGAATCTTGTAGAATAAATTTTGTTATAAACGCCTTTTATATATTAGTATAAATAGGAAAATTAATTTTGTGCGGAGTATGATGATTTACCTAAGTTAATGGATCAATAACTGAAATTATCATTATGATTTACAAAGAATCTTGTTGCAAAAAGAGTACTACTACATGGTATGTAGTATGTTATACTTGTACCTCTTTTTTTTTTTTTTAAAGGGAATGTTATATCTGTACTTTGTATGACATAAGTTAGTGATAAATTATCTAGTCTTTGATTTGAGTTTGCATGCATTGTATGTACCTTCTCATTAAGGTATACAATTCAAATTGATCTAATTTGAATAACCCGTTTTTCATCTTTATTGGTTTCCATAATACAATTCTTTCAACTTGAACGTAAATAAACCTATAATATTACTTTTTTTTTTTAAAAAAATTATTTTACATGATAAGATACGCGGGATGTCCTTCCTATCACAACGGAGGTGGGATGAGGATCGAATCCAGGTCGTTCCTGGGGATGATGGAGGGAAAAACCGTCCCTCCACTCCTTGATCCTTCAACCTATAATTTTAGCATAAACTTATTGTGTTATTTGAATTGCATTTGGCATGTCAAAGTTTTCCTTCAACAAAGACTAACCAATGTTTTTACTGAAGCCTTTGAGTACGTAGTGACTAACCAAACCATTTAATCCATTCAGTCTGAATGAAGACTTATGCACTTTTGGTATTCACTTTCCAAAAAAATACATGACAAGACTTATATTATACTCCGTAATGTTTCACCCAAAAACTTAGGCAGTCTTAAACTGTTTATCTTGTTCGACGATTATCCGATGTCAGTCAAATTGATGGGGGACCTGGACAAACTACTTGACAATTCTACCATAATAATACAACGTTTTAAAAGTAGTTAAAATATACTAGTAAATAAGGTGGTCAACATTATCACATGGTATTGTAGGGAAATAGAAAATCCCATTATTAATAACTCAGGAATAGACTCAGCCAGTCTTCTAGAATCAAATATTATTCCACAGGAAAATAAGTGGATATTAAGGGTTACCAGAAAATTCTACAATGATCATCTTCGAAATGACCATCCGATCCACCCCTAGTCTTAATTCTTATTGGTTGATTTTTCTTTTTTTTTAATTTGGTTAAACCTCTCTTAATAATTTGTCCTTTTTGATTGATTTTTTTTTTCTGAAATTAATATCTTACTAGATGAAAGCCTGTGTGATGCACGGTTTTTTCATCTAAGGTTTTTAATTTTTTTATTGTAATTCATAATTAATTTGTTAAATATAAATAAATGGTAAATATGATAGTTTATCCGTTATATAACATCTCTAATGTGAAAAGATAAATTTTTAATAATTTAAATCCTAAATCATTATTCATTGTTTTACCATATTTTTTATTTCGATAGGATAAAAATTGTTGCAATATAAAATCAAATTTATGCATTGGAATTTTTTCATCATCTCCAATAAGAACCAAAGTCATCCATAAAAAAAAGTATACAACATCAAATCATGTGTCATTACATAAACAGATAATCGTGTGCCATTACATAAACACATAATCGAGTGTCATTACAAAAATAGATAATCGTTAAGTATCCCAAAAAAACCATGTAAGTAATAATTACAAATATAATTTTAAACATAAGATTTTAAAAATTACCCCGGATATTGATGACCTAAACAAACACAAAATTACTAACACCAAATTCGCTTGATGGGGTTTTGTATTGATACGAAATTTTATTTGTGTTGTATGATGCGTTAAATCTGCATGTAAAAAAATTTAGTAAATAAAACATTAACATATAATCGTTAAGTATCCCAAATTAACACAATGTTGGTAATAATTACACATACAAATTTAAACATAGGATTTTAAAAATTAAGCATGACCATTGATGATAAAAAAAATTAACACAAAATCATGTTTGTGTCGTATGATGTGTCAATTTATAATGATAGGTATCACAAATTTTAATTTAATTATAATTAACGAACAATTTTTTTTTCTTATCAAAAATACTATCAAAATTTATCGGGTACGTATCAAACTTTATTATTAGCGTTTATCATTTAATATTTTTTTTATTATTGGAGATTTATCTTTTTCTTTATTTTTTTTTTTTTTTTTGAATTCTTATACTCGTAGTATTGATTTAATAAATTTATCTTTTCCTATAATTTTATTTTTTTCATTAAAATAATTTAATTCGTGGATTATAATCTACGTGAAATTTTAGATATATTAAATCTAATTCGTTACCTTAATCTAGGTGGCGATATATTTTTTAATTCAAAAATAAAATACAAATCTTTTTTCTTATTGGTCGAAATAAGTATATTTCTTATGTGGCGCTCTGAATGCTCTCTAAAATGCCTACTTTATTTATATATATTAGATTTTTCGAAAATCTGTTTTTTTTTATTTTAATAATTATTATATTAAAATCTGTTTGTAATTATATAATAAATAAAGATTACTTTAACAAAATTAAAATTCAAAATATTGTTCTTCATTGTTCTAATCTTCTTCAATATTCTTCTTCCATGGATGAAAATAATTATCAATATCAGAATATTTATCACTTAAAGGCACTCACGCATCAATGGAGATTGAAAATATGCCTTGATCAACATAGTATATGTGAGATTTGAGTTCACTCGAAATTGGGATTCGTACAAATTCGGATTCAATTTAAATCCTAAAATAATACGTACTTGTATTAATTAGACAATCGCAATCAAGGTCAAGGATGCATAATCAGCAATTATGTTTTGTGAAAATAAAAATTAAAAAAAAATAAATAAAAAATAAATAAAAAACATCAATTTTTTATAATCTGGGTTCGTGAGGCAAATTGGAGAAGAAACCATTTTTTTTTTTCGAAACATGTTTGATCCAAAAAAAGAAGATGAAATTTTAAAACAAGTTTGTGTATAAGGTATTCACCAATTTGCTAATAGGACATTACCTATGCTAAACAGTTTTTTTTTTTTTTTTTTTTTTTTGAATCGCCTACGATCCTAAGGAGTTTTGTAATTATATATATTGAATGTTATGATTAGGAATTTTGTAATTATATTTATGTTATTATCAACAAATAATTTTCATTAGATTATTGATGCAAACTCAATTAACAATTAATAATTTATCTGAATTACAATGAAAACTTTAACATGTTTTAATAAATAGAAGGTTATGATCGTATACATTATATGTCATTACATTATGAAATAATATGCAAAGCTTATGTCGTGAATTATTTATTTAGAAATATATCAACAAGTGAATTACATTATTTATTTAAGGATTTTTTGTGAAAAAACTACCTTTTATATACAACTTTTTGTGAAAAACTACCTTTTAAAAAAAAATTTGTAAATGACTACCTCTTTTTTAAAAAAATGTTGTAAAGGACTACCACTTGCCGAAATATGGCCATTGACTCACTTTTCCGGCGTTGACCACCCACGTCCCGGTCACATGACTTTTAATTTTTTTTCTTTATTTCTATGCATGCACCACCAGCATTGCCGCCAACTTCACCACCGCCCCACCACCACAACACCTCAACCCACCTCAAAACTCCCTTACAACCGCCCTCACGCATCCCAAAACCAACCCCACCCCACTTGAAACTGCCTCCACCCCGTCGAATCCAACACATGCCCTCAATCGCTCCGCAATTCTGCGACCCTCAAATAGCAACATCAATAACTTCCTCAATCGAGGAAAGGAAGGGAAGGACGAATCTGGTTTTTAGGGGGACAAAGAAGGGTGGGCGGGATTACGAGGGTGAGATATGTGCGGGTGGGATAAAATTTAACCGAAAATTGAAAATTTATTTGAGGGGTGGCCGAAAATCAAGAATAGGGGGAAGGGTTTCGAGGTGTTCGGGGGAATGATGAGCAGTAAAATGAGGTTGGCAAGGAAAGGGATGCCAGATTTAATGGAAGTGGGGGTAGGGAAGGGAGTGGCCGAAAATTGATAATCTATTCGAGAGCTATAAGAAGGGGTAAGGAGCACTGCAGGGGGTGGGGGATGGTCGGAAATTGGAAAAGGGAGGCGGAGGGGCAATAAGTGCGACAGTCAAAAGTGTGTAGGGGTAGTCTGAGCTTTTTGACTTTGTTCCTGGAAGGGTAGTGACTGATGCGGCCAATCGGAAGCGGATTAAATACGAATCCAGTTGTCTAGCAATTGGATATGGTTTCCTTCCTTTCTCTTTCTCTTCTCTTGGGGAGTTAGAAAAGGAGGTTGTTATATTGATGAAGCGGATCCAGAAGTTCTCGAAGACTCAGGATATTGGGGCACGTGCTGCAGCTCATATCTTTACTAGGATCGGCTTTTCTATAGCTAGAGGAGTGGGGGCCCAGATTGTATCTCGGCTTCCCACTAATTTTCTATAGGTTGTATAACTTTATCGGGGTTGTCTGACTTTGTTCCTGGTCGTGTTGTATCGGCGCCGGCTCAGCGGAAGCGGGACAAGTATGGGGCGTGTTGTAGGGCTATTGGTTATGGTTTTCTTCCTTTCTCCTTTTCTTTGTTGGGAGAATTAGATAAGGATGCTATTGCGTTGCTGAGGCGGGTTCAGGCGTTCGCTAAGACTCATGATATTGATGCTTGTGCAGCTGCTCACATCTTCAGCAGGATCGGGTTCGCAATAACTAGAGGGGTGGGGGCCCAGATTGTATCTCGGCTCCCCACAAATTTCTTGTAAATTGATTGACTTTGTAGGTTTTTGAAATTTTATATAATAATAATAATAATAATAATAATAATAATAATAATAATAATAATAATAATAATAATAATAATAATAATAATAATAATAATAATAATGATGATGATGATGATTTCAGCAGGATCGGGTTCGTCGTTGTCCGGGTATTTCGCGGTGGGTTGATTTCTGCTACTCTAATCCAGCCAGATTGTATTATGGGGAGCACACCTTATGGTCATCTCAGGGGGTGCAGCAGGGTGATCCCCTTGGTCCTCTCCTTTTTTCTTTGGTTTTACAACCTCTTGTGTGTAAAATCAAAGATGCTTTTGAGGTATGTCTTCAGGCGTGGTATTTGGATGATGGCACAATTATTGGAGACACTTTGGTGGTAGAGAAGGTTCTACAGTTGATTATGGAGGAAGGACCTCCTTTTGGATTGCATCTCAATGTGGAAAAAATTGAAGTTTTCTGGCATACAGAAGACCCTCGTAGCAGGCTTGTGGGTGTTTTTCCCCCTTTTATTGCTCGACCATTGCATGGTGTTAAGCTGCTTGGTGGTCCTGTTAGTTCTGATTCAAGGCTTAGTGGCAAGCTTGTGATGTAGAGGGTTACCAAGACCATTGCGCTTATGGATAGGGTTGCTATGCTGGATGATCCTCAGTGTGAGCTGTTGTTACTTAGGGCATGTACTGGAGTTTCTAAACTCTACTTTGCCTTGCGTACTTGTCCTCCAGGTGCATTTGAGGCGGCTCGGCACGTTTTCGACGAGGCTCTTCGATCTTCCTTGGAGCGTATTGTTACTGCTTCGGGGCCCGGGTTTGGTGATTGGCAGTGGCGGCTTGCAACTTACCATTTGCGTTTGGAGGGCTTGGTGTTTACTCCGCAGGTGATGTTCGTCACTATGCTCTTCTTGCTTCCCGGTTGCAGTCTGCTGGGTTGCAGACGCAGCTTCTGCGTCGTACTAGTATTGTGGGTCTTGGTCAAGCTTTTGAGGATGCGTTGAGTTTGTTTACTAGAACGGTTGAGTATGACATTTTAGGTAATCCTTATGAGGTCGCTGCCCCTAAACTCATGAAGAAATTGGCAGATATATATTTCACAAAGGTTACCGCTTCTGCAAAATCCACCTTTTCTTTGTCTCCTCGGCAGTTGGCATTGTGGAAGTCGCAGCAGGGTGATCACACCTCTGCTTGGCTTCGGGCAGTCCCTATTTCTGGATTGGTTCAGACGATGAACGCTAAGACATACCGATGTGTGCTGTGTTATCGGATGGGTGTTCCATTGTTCTCTGTCTCGACACCGTGCTCTGCTTGCTCTCGGGTTTTTACTGGGGATGTATTCGGCGACCATGCGGTGTCGTGTGCTGGCATTGTTGGTATTAAACATCGGCACAATGTTGTTCGGGATACATTTGTTGATATTTGCTACAAATCTGGGATTTCAGCAAGAAAGGAGGTTGACATAGGATTGTCTGGAGGGAATGACGGGGCCCTCAGACCTGCCGATGTGTTACTTTATTCATGGGATCGTGGTCGTGATGTATGTGTCGACTTCACAAGGTCTTCTCCTTTGACACAGACAGGGTTATCTGACTTTGTTCCGAGACGGGTTGTGGCTGATGCGGCTCATCGGAAGCGGGTTAAGTATGAAGCTCGTTGTTTGGCGATTGGATATGGTTTCATTCCCTTCTCCTTTTCTTCGCTTGGGGATTTAGAGAAGGAGGATGTTGCGTTGCTGAAGCGGATTCAAAGGTTCTCAATGACGCAAGACATTGGGGCTCGTGCTACAGCTCATATATTCACTAGGGTAGGCTTTGCTATAGCTAGAGGAGTGGGGGCCCAGATTGTATCTCGGCTTCCCACTAATTTATTGTAGGTTATATGACTTTTGTTTTTGAGATAATAATAATAGTAGTAGTAGTAGTAGTAGTAGTAGTAGTAGTAGTAGTAGTAGTAGTAGTAGTAGTAGTAGTAGTAGTAGTAGTAGTAGTAGTAGTAGTAGTAGCAGCAGTAATAATAATAATAATAATAATAGTAATTTAAAAAGAGTTATATTTTGTGAAATTATGTTCAATCAAACAAAAGAATTAAAATTTGGAGAAGATTATGGACTACGATTTCCCCCAATATTTATCATTTATTTAACTAAAAGATTATGGATCGGACTACAATTTCCCCCCAATATTTAGACCAATTACACGACGACACTTGTCATAGGTAACCGGTTTAGTAGGTTACAAGTTTTTTGTCTTGTTTAAAATTGAGACCCCCCAAAGGTTATAATATTCAGGTATAATTCAAAGGTTGTATTTTTTTTTTAAAAAAAAAACGGGCTAAAGGTTGTATTATTTATGGCATTTTTTCCAAATATATATGGCTTCACTTATTTGTTTTCTTTTTTCTTTTTCTTCAAGAATTTTTTTCTTCTTCTTCAAGAATCGGTTCATTTTTGTTGTTAAAACTTTTGTAAACTGAAAAGAAAATCTATGTTATTAAATATCTATATAAGATTTTTATATGGGTGAACCTTAATTGTATAAGTTTCCAACGGTAAAAGTTTGTAACATCTTACATCATTCACCATTATTTCAAGCACATTATTTTTTAATCCACTAATAATGTATTGATAGAGACCTGTGCATTGCACGATATACTAATCTAGTTCTAAGAACGTTTATGTGCCACATCGACCCCTTTCATTACATCACGTTACCTACTCAACCTATTTTTATGTCACATCACCACTCAATCCACTTAATCAATATGCCACGTCACTCAATTACAATTATCAATCATGTTATAAGCATGAAATTAAATGTATATAATTGCAAATCACAAGGTCTAACTAAAAAGAAAAAAAAATAAACACCATTAGGGATGAAAGTGATATGGACAAAAACTAAAAACCTAACCAAACCAAACCGAAATTCGGTTTCGGTTTTGATTCGGTTTGGGGCTGTCAAAAACCGAAAATCGAAATCCAAACCGAAGTTTAATTTTAGAGCCCAAAGATTTCCAGCCCATATATCCCCTACATATATATAGCAAAACCCTAACTTTTTACTTCCCCTCTTTCACTCTTCCAGGTTCTCATTTTCGCAGCCTTCCTTTGTTCCTCACCAAAACCCTAATCCTCCATTCCTCACTCAACACCTCACTTACTCCGGCCACCTCCTCACTAACTCCGGCAACCACCTTCCTCAGTTCGACAGTTCGTGTTTGTGCTCCCTCAAGTCACTGTTTCTCAAAGCCGCTCGCGTTCTGGTGTTCGTCATCACCACGACACCACCTCCCTCAATCCGATCACCACCTCCATCACTCCTTCAGTCATAGTTTGTCACCTTATTCCATTGTTACTCGTGTTCACCGCTACTTATGTTCACCGCCACTCGTGTTCACCGCCACTCGTGTTCATCGCCGCGTTTCGCATTCAATCACCACAACCACAAATTTTCTGGGTTATCCTTGATTTTTTTAATTATCTTTTATATTATAATCTATAGTTGTAGATGTTAGTCTTGTAATCAATACAATTTATTAATTATTATAGTTGTGTTAGTGTATTACTTCTTTTTTTTTACTTTTATCTTTTATATTATAATCTATAGTTGTAGATGTTAGTCTTGTAATCAATACAATTTATTAATTATTATAGTTGTGTTAGTGTATTACTTCTTTTTTTTACTTATTTTTATTTTTGTAGATCTATTCATTATAAATTTGACAGTTTTTTTAAAAAAAATTATTTTTCTTCAACAATCTAGAAAAATTCCCTTAAAAGTTCGGTTTTTGATTTGGAACCGAATTAGGTTTTTAAATTTGGGTTTAGATTGGTTCGGTTTCAAATCTAGTTCGGTTTGGATTCAGTTTGAAAAATTCAAAACTGAATTAATTCGGTTTTGATTCAGTTTGAGTCAAAATCAAAACTAAATACCGAACTTTCACACCTAGACACCATAAATATTAAATATTAAATACATATATTCACAACATTAAATTAAACTAGCAACTTGGTACGACGATAAGACCAAACATTAAGCTAATTGGTGATTAAATGAAATAATTCACTAAGGTAGGGTGGTTCCGAAACCTTAACCTCATTCAAAACCCTAAACGAGGTGGTTTGGTTTCGGTCTAGGCGAAGGAGAAAGAGAGGGGGTGGGGTTGTGTGGTTACGGTGTGAGGAGAGTGCTCGGGGGTAAGAAGAGAGAGGGAGGGTTGTGGATGGGGTTTTAGGGGGGCAGGGCGATGGTCGAGATAAGGACTAGGGTACAGCCTGGGCGCCGACGGTGAAGCTAAGGGGAAGGGGAGAGGTCGTGAGGGTGGTTGACTAGTGGGGTGGTGGTGTGGGTGGATAATTGGTGGTTGTTAATTTTTTTTTAATAAAAAAACTACCCTTAGTTAATTTAGTCCTTGTTTGTTTTTTGATTTTCTGTTTTTTTAAATCAAAAAACTAAAAATAGAAACGCCCTCAATTCTCAAATTAACGCCCACAAAGTAAAATTATTTTACGAATTTACCCTTATCATCATCAAAGTCATAATACGTAAGTACCACCCACCCTCACTCCTTGTCTCTAAACCACCACCACCTCATCCTTTCACCAGTTCACCACCAACCACCGCCTTCTTTTAACACAACCATTTGATTTTCTCACGGAAATGTTGAGGAGGGATAAGGCCATCGTCAATGGTGGTTTTTTTTTTTTTTTATTTTCCGATATGGGCTGAAACACCCTTTTTTTTTCGAAAAACTATGGCAGCAACGTCTAGATATTTCGAACCACCACTAGGCATTCGAGATTTCTGAGCGTTTGAGGATGAAACGTCCAGAAATTTCGAACGTCCAACGGTTGTTTGATATATCTAGACTTTTCCTCCATGGTAATTCTTAAAGAATGGACGTTTTGAATCTGTTTTGATTTCATATTTGGGTAAAGTCAAGGAAATTGATTTCGTGCTTCCAATTCAAGACAAAGCAATATATACATTTTATTAGAGGAATGTTAGGCAGATCCGCAGATTGTCATCAGCTCACTGATTGCTATGAATAAGTAAACTAAATATATACTAACCTTAAATATTGCTACTGATTTGCTAGGAATACGTTCACTGAATGCATACTAACTATATATACATTATTTTTTTTTTTTAATTTTTTTTTGAGGGAATTAACTATACATACATATATACACTCAAAAAGTCAAAATGAATATATAATATGCTAAAAGAATAAAGTTCTTGTGTTGTTATAATTCTGTTACTAATTACTCATTATTATAGCTCTTAATTTCTTATTTTGTTAGATTTGTTCCTATTATTATTATTATTATTATTATTATTATTATTGTTGATTAGGGGATTTTTATCCACCAATCGCTGTCTGACAAGTGGATCAACCAGGTTCCTCCATGTGTCCTCCATGTGGGCCAATGGGAGCCTGCCACGTGTCAGTCACAGATATGTCCTCTACGGACCAGTTGAGACACGCCACGTGTCCACCCATGCCAAATGGGGAAACCCGGCCACCAAGGCCCAATCCTGTTATGAGGCCCAGTCAGCCCAAGGTTTACCCTAAACCTAAGTCTGGCACGCTTCCCGAGGCT